TTGTAGTTGATTTCATGCAGAGCTGAATTTCTAATTATATAATCAGATAATTGAAAAATTTACTCTTCTGTTTCATTCAACCTGTGTGATGATCATCTTTATGAGTCATTTCTACTTCGAAAATCATGTCGTTGATAGATAATTGTCAATAATTGTTGATTTTTTTTTGTCGATCAAATGAAATTCATTTAATGTTGATATAAAGTTTATAACAAAAGATTGATACATTTGTAGTACTTAGAAACTATTAGATATTGTTATTAAAATATGCTAACGAATTCTTTGTATGATTTTAGATAGATCTACGTTCTTGAGAAAAAACTTATGTGTTTGAAATTTGTTAGTAAAAATAATAACAATAATTATACAAGTGACAAAATTTTTAACTCTTAGAGAACTGACGTGAGTGAAATTTTGATAAACCAATGTCTGTTCGTATTCGAGCTTGCATATAGCTTAAATGATTATCAATATTTTTCTATGAAATTGGCAAATCCTATAAATCGGACTAGTTTTCAAATCTATAGGAAACGTCATTTTCACATATTAAAAAAACATACAATCTCAATCAATGGATTCTTTATTATGCATATGATTGGACTCTGTATAGATCATAACTATTGAACCTAAGTATCTGATATTAACCAAATAGTTGGTCATTTGTTAGTGTTTCATAATTAGATAAAAAAATCATTATTTCCACGAAAATTTGATAAGTCTTTGCTGGGATTATTATCAATGTCTTTATTTGAGAACTATTATAGGCCTCTCTAGTGTAGGCCATTTTTCGGGGTGTTGGTAGTTTTTTTAGACGTTGAATTTTATATGGTTAGATGCAGCTTGAAAAGCTCTACAAAATGAGATAAAAAAATTTTTGGAGGTTTGATAATTGAAATTAGAAGAGCGTTAAAACTAGAAAAAATTCGATATTTTTACTCCTCTATTTTTCATGAATTTTGACCTTCAGGACTACATAGCCTCCAGCCTTAACGATAAATATATTTCAAACTTGCTAGTATTCTGTAGGGTACATCAAGGGCTATCAAATGAAATTTGAACGACCTCGATCACTTTAATCGTTTTCGAGAAAATATCAAAATACTGACCGCAGTCAATTTGTCTATAAATTGACTTGATGAATCAAGAGGGTGAAAAAAGTCGGTTCGGGCTAAAAATTTTTTGCGAAGGTTTTAAATCAAAAAAATTTGGATTTACCGATAAAAATGAATGCTCTTTCAAACCATGTTATTAAAATTGAAAACAAAAATTTAGCGGCGGCCGATCATCAGAAAAATATTCGGTCTTTTCACGGAACCTCTCTTAATGCTGCACAGAATTGAGCTCCTATTAAAGAAGAAAGTCATGCTTCATTTGAATTAGCAGGGCACACTGGTGACTTTCGGCTACATATGTCTGGATGATACTGTGGCCCATTATCAAACCTGGCAACTGATCAAGGATCTTATTGTGTTTAAGTGCTACTAGTATTTCATAGGTTTATCATGTGTCCTGATAGTGCAGTTGTTTATGCAAATAAATGCGTTTGTAGCATTTTTTCCTCGACTGAAGACAGACTTATATGGAATAAAATGCGTTCGGTTGGTTGATTGCTCACAGTCAAAAATACGTCTTTAGCAAGAGGTCATTTTTCGTGCAGTAGCTCATGAGGTAATCGGGATCGACCAATTGACTAGTGCTCGTAGAAATCCAAAGTTTTCAAGTTGAGACTTTCTGGGAATCCGACGTTTTTCCTGTACAATTGAATCAAAGATAATCGAGGTTAAGTAATCGATTGTTGCACATAGAATTTCGAAATTTTCATGGCAGGCCTTATTCGACTAAAGAGCGCTATCCGGGGAGTCCAAGAGTGGGTACCTCTCACCTTCATACATAGATCGTGTAGACATTTCAAATATCACGAGGTAATGAAACATGAAAGCCAATATTATGACTATAAATATCTTTTTTGGAAGGATTTTCTCAGTCAAATGGAACAACATGGGTGATTGAAATTTTCAGAAATGTTAAATTTTAAGTCTTATCCTTATGATAAATACTTGGTAATTCTAACTTATTTCAAGCAAAAGTTATTCAGTATCAAATTCACCTAAAATTTCTGTTTTTTCACATAGGAACCATTGCCTTTTCTACAACTCATGCTCGTCCTAATTTGTTTTGTTTATATGGGGTTGTAGACTGGAATTGGGTGTTCTGTGTTATGGAAGTTATGAAAGGAGTTATGGTTTAATTTAGAAGAAAAGCGAGTTTTAAATATAGTTTTGTGGCGAAAAACCTAATTATTCGTATTGGTTCGTCTCTATTCATACTTTTACTTCAGTGAGCTGAAACTTATATGATAGTGGAATGTGATCGAAATCTACCCTATTCAAAGTTTCAGCTCTCTACTACTCTCTAATACATACACATAGACAACAGGGACTCCTCAAAATTTTCACTGTGCTCATATTGTGGACACAGTATAGTATAATAGCGTACTCTGTTTAAGCTGGAACCTATAAAACGTCTAGAACTATTGTACTTGTTTATGTAAAATAAATCTCAGCTTACATGATTCAAGTTGTCTCTCCATATATAGCAATATGCCGTTACGTATTAGACCATTGAAGTGACATGTGAAACGATATGAATTTAATCGTTTACGTGCGAAATATTGTCGAAAAATTGTTTCCCACGACGTGTTTCAATGTTTGCATAGTTCAAAGAAAAAGCTTAATAAAATGATGTGCTGTTTTGTCTATAATGGACTGAAATAGATATTGAGATCCTTTTTATTCTTGAGTCAAATCATGACTACCAATAATTTAGCCGCGACTGGCGTCCTGAAGAAGCGCCTACGAGCGACTAACTACTGCACTCGACGTTACACGCCAGTTTAAAGGAATGAACTGTTTGGTAAGAACTATGACACAGAGATGCATGATTGTGTATAATCCAGCACGTATGTGTGTATTAATATTTGCACTAAAAGTTAGCTATATGCAACTGTTAGTTACTAGCTTTCTAAACTCGTTTTTAACGACAGAAATCACTGGATCAGTCAAAATTCAGTCGCGATTTCAGCGAGTGGCACAGACGAGCCTTAGTTGCGCCATAAGTTGGCAGAATCAGGAAAAACAGCATCCTCGATATGGCTTTTGGTATCAAAGTTTCCATGTTTTAGAAAGCTTTTCTCGTGTTATTCGAAGTAAATGGAGAAGATATAATGTTTGGTAGATAATGTTTTGTATTTTTAAGAGATTAGAAGCAACGAAACCTTTTGGCACATGCTTCAGTGGTTGGTCTCCAGTACATTTTTTTAAATTTATTTTTGCGGTATTTTTCATGTGTAATATCCAGTATGTCCATTGCATTCTATATTTAATATCCATATTATATGCACAATATGGTCCTATTACCTAAACCCTTCTAGGTTTTGTGGAAAGTCTTAGAAAACATTGAATCTTTATACTGTTGAAGTACGACTCATTTAGTATAGTATGCATTTTATAGTGTTATATATATATATATCCTTATTCGATTAATGTGGGATGCCGTAGTTCATAACGATTAATTACGAGTTTTCTATTAACTAGACATTGCGATGATGTTGATAATATTCTACTTAAAAGGACGCCCAGTTCAGAGAATGCTTTTACACATAAAAAGTAGGTGATGAATAAAACAAGAATTATCATTCTCACATAGACACCTCCAAAGGAGATTGACTTTGGCAACAAGCGGTTGTTAGGGTGAATATCTTCGAGACTAAATTCTAAATTTTAATATAAATTTGTATTTAAAGGATTCTACTAGATTTTATTTGTGGCTGAATAAATTAAATTTATTAGGCTTCTAAACCTGAATACAACAAGTTTTGCAACATGCAAACCTATACACTGTCCTTGAAATTTTAAAATACTTTCTAATCACTCTTAGCCTTTGTTTTGTAATATTTTATTGAACTTCTATGGATTTTCACACTCTTAATCTCTTCATCTGCGCCCTTAAAAGACTTTCTTACTTACCACTGAATCTTTGTCTTAATTGCAAAGTGATAAAATGCTTGTTCTTCTTACTATTGAATTCAACACTTTCGACACGAAAGCAAACACCTGGTGTTACCAGTTCTTCTTCTTCGTTTTCGTATTCAGACAGTGAACTTAGATCGGCAATAAAAGCAAATAATACTTTCATGATGAATAAAGCATTTCCAAATTCTTCAGCTTTCTTGCGATTCCGACTAGTTGATGTGTATGCCTGAAATGATCCCCATGCATTTTTATCTCTGGCCATCTCTTCGTATTTAACAATCTGCTGAGGCTCCAGAGTTGCTCCTCGATACAGAGTTTTCTTCATTGTCAATTTTGTATTCAATGGGTCATCCCATAATAATAAGCAAAAAGGGCCTAATGTAGGAATTTTACTTCTCCATACTTTTTCCTGTTCTTTATCTCCAACCAATCTCATTGCTGCATTCAACGTTTTGTATAAAAAGCTTTCCAGCGTATACAAATAAGCGCAGCATTTCCATACTTCCTCCATTCCAGAGTGCTTCGTCTCCTGAAGCAGTTTAGCCAGTTTTTCAGCTTCTCTTTCTTTTCCAATATGCTTTCCCTCTTCAATAATACCGCGAGCAGCCTTTTCAACCAGCATTGGAATCATATTGGGCTTTTTTGAAGGCAAATCTTGTGGTTCAAGCTTCAGATACCTTCTAACTTCGATGACGAAAGCGGATATCCAGCCATATTCACCTCCAAATGAACGTCCAGTGCTGACTGGTAGATCCATAAAACGTGTGTCTCGTAAATGTTTATCCTGCCTTTTGCGTACTTCGCGTTTAACAGGTCTTTGTTTGTAACTGTCAGTATTTGATATTTGAAGATTGCTTGCAAAGTCAATGTAATAATCATCTAGTAAAGCTTGAGGTTGTTTGTCTTGGAATGCTTCTTCAATAATTAAATTTTCCAAGTCTGAGTAATGATTCCATGTTGCTGGTTCAGATTTTGAAAATGGGTTCGGATTTGCTTTCCACATCCATTCAACGGTTTTCAACGAATTTTTTGATGTCGAGGGTGCGTAAGAAGCCATATAATTACTTATGGATATATTGGCTTTTCACACTAAATATGTGATGAACAGAATTTTCAAATTATCTGAAAGCGAGAAAATCATACCGATGACAAAATTAATATTTCCTTAATACCGAGGCCACGTTTTTGTACAAGACCAGTTCTCTGATTTATCTCTAAGCTTTGATGAAATGAATTATTTTTGAACTATCTCTCAAAACTTTAAGGTTCCTTTTTGATAGTCATATGCACAAAATGATTGGAAGTGCGTGTCGAAAAGAAAAAAGTCGAACAGAAAGTATCTAAATCAAGGATTCTTCAATTTTTTCTTTCGCTCAGGGAAAGTTGAGGGCTATAATTAATTGGAGTACAAATACTAATACTTTAAGCCCCATCAAAAACCAACTTTCACCTTTGGAACATCCGAATGCGTTGATTTTTGAAGAGCATATTGGGGCTGAATTAGGGAGTCTGCGATAAAATTGTCAGCTCCTAATCAGCATGTAAAAGGGAGATATAGGCCAAACACTCGTAAAAAATGGCTTATCTGGCATCCAAAAGTTCTCTGTTTTGGCTTTTCCAATACATTAATATTTTTGCTTCATTTGAAAGAGCAGGCTAAGGTGCAAGAAATGACGTTGTCCTTTTTTTTTGAAAAAGGACTTCTTCAGTGAAAAGAAGTTCTTACAAGTTTAAGTACTCTAAAAATGGTCGAAAATGGTGATCAAATTTTGTAGTTCACTTTATATGGATCTAAAGGGGTCCTTTTTTTCTAAAAAAGGACAATGTCATTTTCCTGCATTTCGATGTGCTATTTCAAACGAAGCAAAAATATTAACGTGTTGAAAAAGCCAAAACAGAGAACTTTTGTATCTGCGTCCCAGAAACTGTAATTTGAGAATAATAAAAAAACATTTTTTTAGAATTTTTAGAACCGCTGAACTTTAGAATAGTGTGTTCGTAAAACTGTTAAAAAATCGAATCAAGAAGAGCCTGCACAACAAATATTTTTATGCTGTTTCAAAGAGCAGAGCTTACTCTATCTTCCTGCATATTTATCTCAACTTCGGCGACCAGTGGAAAAATAGAATTTCTTAAGAAAGTGACCTTAATTCACAAATCGCTGGTTTTCCAATAGGGGTTCCAAAAACCCTTAAAAATTTTGGTCAAGGAGGGCCCATTGAAAAAAATTTTATGATGTTTGAAAGAAAAGAGCTCGCTCTATCTTCCTATGCATTTATCTTCATTTTGGTGGCTCTAGCGAAAATGGACTTTTTTAAGAGGGGACCCTTAGTATTTCCCTTCTTAATTCTCAAATGAATGATATTACCGTCTCATCCAGTAGGAATCTTTATACTGCGCTGGGTAATATTCTTTCTTTTTCTCCTAAAACCAAGTAAACATTAATTCTTCCTTTGTCGTCCTTTTTTTGCTACGCAAAGCATTAGTATACTTCCACCAGTCGATTTGGAGTAGAGATACAAGTTGATTAGTCTTTCTCTTTTTATGTTCCTGGCAGACTACTTTATAGACGTATTCATCTGCTGTATTATATACAAGTAACGCGACGTAAGCGTAGCAAATCCACTACTGAAAGGATGTTCTTGTCATGATTCCGAATTCTAAAAGCTCATCTAATATAAATGCATGTTTTGCAGTAGCCCATTAGGATGCTGGAAATGTAGATTCTCATATTCAGTAATCACTACGAAAATTGCATATTTTGACAAGGGAAGGTCGCCAAGTGTGACGCTTCGTTTCGAATCTGACATTGACCATTTTGTAGAGCACAGTGAGCACAGCACGTGATATAAAGGGTTCGTCCCCATAACAGACTTTTAAGGAATTCCGAGTTACCACAAGGGATGCTTTATAATGACTGGGGATAAATTGTTAATCGCATTTTTCATAGTCTATATTGAGTGAGAGAGCGAAAACTTTCAGGAATAAAAGATCTTAATTAGATATACATAGATAATGAAAATTTCAGCTCTCTATCTCAATGTAGACCATGAAAAATACCATTAACAATTTATCCCTAGTCATTATAAAACATCCGTTGTGGTAACTCGTAGTTCCTTAAAAGTCTATTATGGGGATGAACCCTTCATATCACGTGCTGTACTCACTGTGCCCTACAAAATGGTCAATGTCAGATTCGAAACGGAGCGTCACACTTGGGAGCCTTCCCTCGTGAGCATGTTAAAACATGCTTTATATTTCCACGATATCATCAACATTCTCCGTACTCGCTCTGTCTAGCTAAATATTCTTATAGCATAATCTATAGGGTGTTGGTGTGGATGGTATAAGAGAAGACCCACACCGCACGCACACCCATGCCTGAAAAATCAATTTTCGAATATCGACTTGAAACTTCGCCCATAGAAAGATCTCAATGAGAATAGCTTATCCTGAAAGTTTCAGAGTTCTCTGTTGTTCGTATCCTTAAATATCAACACTTATCATTTTGTGCTATAAGTGGTATGAAAGACGAGTTTTTCATATACTCGCACCTAGATATGGAAACAACCAAAAAATTTAAAACTTTTACCCTCAAGATAGTCTCATTGAGATCTTTCTATGGGCAAAGGTTCAGGTTGATATTCGAAAATTGATTTTTCAGGTAAACTTCAGGGGGAGCACGGGTTTTTGCTAGAAAATACCGTAAAAATTAAATATCTCGGCAGAAATAAGTTAGAAGTTCGAAGTTTTAGCGGGGTATTTATAGCTCACTAGAGCCTACGTAATGCGCATAGCATTGACTCAAAAGCGATGTGGCACCTGAAACTTGCTCTTGACCTCTATTTTCTGTTCATGTGCCCGCTTCCCTCATCCCCCTCATTCTGATGTACTATATACATGAAAACATAGAGGATATTATCACCATCGTGTTCCCATGAACAATTACCTAAATATGTCGATTAAGTCATTTTTCTATTACTGCCAATATATGGAGTCGAAAGAACAGTTATCTACAATAAGGCTCTTATTTTGGCCTTCCTGTTCATGGCACCCATAGAGATCCCAGGTCAGTTTTTGTATCAAGTTGTAGGCCAAAGGTAGGGCTTTCAGGGCCAACTGTTTTCCCAACGAGCCATCCGGTATTTTTCGAGACCGCTACAGCCCAAAATCGCTAATTTGGTAATAAAGCCCATTCTGATGAGGCCATCCTGCACGAACGGTTCGCTCGAAGGAGCTGAAAGGGTTTGGGTGTGAGGGTGTGGGTGTGGGTGTGGGGGGTGGGGGTGGGGGTGTGGGGGGGGGGGGGGGGGTGGGGGAGGGTGGTTGCGTGGGCGCGAGGGAGCGGGAGGGGGCGGGGGGGCGG